TAGCATTCAGTTTCATTTGTCGACTGGATCAAATACATGGACAGCATGTACTATAGACATATGCACCACGTCTGTACCTCTGTCTACTGCAAGAAATATTCTCTGTATTGTTTCTAAGTCAGTGAATCCATTGATAAATTCCTTTTTTTGTTCCCTGCACCCTAATTAGGAAATCTATTTGAGGCTTTTATACATAAAGATGAATTCCAGCACCAGGGATGTTGAACAAGAGCTTGATCGTATCAGCAACCTCCCAGAGCCAATTAGATGTCTAATCATCTCAAGGCTTCCTATTGAAGAACTTGTAAGAACAAGTGTTCTATCAAAGAGCTGGCATGATACTTGGAAAAATGTTCCGCATCTTTATTTTGATCTAACGCGAATGACAAAGGCTTGTAGGGAGCCTTTTTATCAAGTCAAGAGAAATAGGCGAAGCCATTGTGCAAGAAACTTTTTGCCGTGTTCTGAGCAGCATATCAATCAGCTTCATGATGCAGCCAGATTAGTTAATACTATCCTCAATGCTCACTCGGCCTCTGTCACTAGTTGCAGGATTAATCAATTTCCAATAGGTTTTCAAGAGCCTGTAGAATCTGTTGAATATCTTACCCGAATAAAAGGAGTTCAAGAACTCTATCTTACTGGCCGACCTTTGATAAGATTTGGTCCTCAGAAGCTAAAGCCACTCCCTTTTCCCTCATGGGGGAAGACCCTTCAAGTTCTTGAACTTAGCAAATACACCATCAAGGATGCGTCAATTTTCAAAGGATGTGACAATTTGCATACACTGAGGCTGAAGATTGTTAAATTAGGCAAGGAAAGTATGGGTGAAATACTGACTTACTGTAAAGCCCTTAAAGAAATTAGTCTACTCAATTGCACTGGGATTGAAAATCTCACGATATCTAATAAAAACCTCAAAATCTTGGAGCTTCATAATATTTCTTTTAGTCTAATTAACATATGTGCTGAGAATCTGGCTGTGCTTGTGCTTGACAACATTCAGTGTCCAGCTAGTTGTCTCGTCATTAAAGCACCTGCGGTGGTGAAATTGGATGCTTTTCATCTCAATCGCAAAGATTGTTTCGAAATGGAGGAACTTCTGTCCCGTTGCTGCGGAATCTTGGTAAGAGAAATCCTAAATTTATAGTCCGGTAATTTAT